AATAATAATAATAATAATAATAATATATATATATATATATATATATATATATATAAAAGTCATTTTTATTATAATAAAAATAAATACAAGCCACTTTTTCTAACAAAGAATGCATCAATGTTTTTCTAACAGAGAAAGAATATATTAATTCTAAATTGTAAAATTAAAAATATATATGAAACTCCTTTCCTTATGATATATAAGACAACATAAAAAAGTATTGTATGTGAATCATTATTTTATAATTAAAATACTTATAAAATAATGTTTAGAATATCATTATAAAAAAAAGTTGACATGTTTTACATTTTGTTTTATAGCTTATGTCCACAAATGAGATTCATTTCCTCAAATGTGAAATTGATTAGTAGATTAAATTAATATTAGCAATAAAACAACTTAGATATTTGAATCTAAATTATGATACTGCAGCCACAAGATTTTTTAAAAAAATTTCCTAATTGTAAATGACGGAAATTTCGGATCACAAAAAATACATGAATTATAATACAAAAAAATCAATAAAAGATGCATTTACCTGCTTTGGGGTTTGTTTGAACTTAAAAATGCGCTCGTTTTTCTCGCGGGACGAACTTGATCCATAGCTAAGGTCTTAACAAGCGTTCATGAAAAATATGATTTATTTTAAAAATTCAGAATCACAAATGTGCCCGTTTTATAAATGTTTTACATATTTTTTTTGCTCGATTTGCACTTTACCTGTTAACTTTTATCGTGGGCACATAATTGATTTTGCTTTTTCCGCTAATAAAATTGCTGCTTCGTGAGTGATTTTATCGTTTTAGCTAAAAAAAATTCATATACCATTTTAAAATTTTTGTTAATATTTTTCACCCTTTAGGCTCTGAACTCCACATCGTAGTAACAATATTGTAAATGCTGAAATTTTTGAAATTAGAAACATAGTAAGACATCCAATTTTGACTTATTATTGGTGGAATAGTTTTAGAATTTTTTTGTGGTCTATATAAATCCAAAAAAGAAAAACCTAAATAATTAAATAATTGATTAATCAAAAATTAAAATAATAAAATACACTTCATATTACTTTTGTGCTATATATATTAATTTATTTTTTTAAAAAAAATATTATGTTGCTTTCAGCCTTTAGTTTTTCCACTTTACTTTGTTTCGATTTGGAAGCCATCTGTCTAATCAATATTTTATTTCTACAGTAATGGGCAATTTTTTTCTTTGAATATTATATATACTTTTTTTAGTATTTTTATAAAAGTATGAATTATATAATATTAATAAAAATTGCGATAATTAGGTAACTCTTAATTAAATTGAAAAAGGTAATTTAATGTAATAGTCCATTGACCTTTTAAGAAGTTTGGAAAAGATTGATGACAGAGCTAAAATTTTAATTAAGAGATATTAAATATAAAAAAGTAAAATTACGTAGAAATTAAGGAGTGAAATTCTATAATATATATATATTAAAAAAAATATTTTCCCCTGACTACAGAGTGTAATTATTCAACAAAGGGTGTTAGGTTGACAATCGTTAAGTATAAGTGACTCCACTATAGATAGGGTAAGAGAGTTGGGTAGTCTTATGGCATGTATATGTTTTCGTATGAGCTTGTTCGATGAAAAATAAATAAAAAAATTATATTTTATGTTATAAATTTATTTCACCGTGGAAAAAACCTCTATTTCTAGTAGTGAGATAACAATTTTGAGCTGTAATCCAAATCATAGAAGGAGATCGAGTATTATTTGATAATAAATTGAATTAATAATATAATATTTGTATTAAGTGGATTTAGTAACAAAATTTTAATTTGACAAATACAAAAAAATATCCAAATTTCGTCAAGAAAACTTATTTATTAGTGGGTAATTAACCTCGAGAATCAACTTAAACTTGAAATTACCTCAAAAGTAAAGATAAGCAAAATAATCAAATTAATGGAGATCTCGACCTTTGATCAAGATGAACTAATATACTGGCATTGTCTTCCAACTCCGTGTCACTTCGATTTGTATACGACTTGACCCTCTATAGTTTGTATCTTGTCCCTAGTTACTGATTAATCATATTCGACTTCGATAGTAGATATGTTTTTTCTTACACATTTCTTTCCATTAGCTTTCGCCGTCTTACCTTAATATATGATATTTAATATTAAATGAAGAGATTATTTTTAAGATATAAGTAAAAATAAAATGATTAAATATTTTTTAAAATACGATAAATATTTTAAAACGACTAAATTAGTAGGTTATGCTCGTCTTTCTCCAAAAGACAAAAAGAAGGAGAAAAATTTGTGGAATGCAATAAAATATATGAGATACTTTATTTTCGTTATAACTTAATTTAAATATATTCGATAGAAAATTGATAAAAGAAGTGAAATAAATAAAATTTATACCCTATCGACGAAACCCTCTTTCTCCAAAAAGTGTTTTAGGATTGCTTATATTATGTTTTTTTTTAATTTCTGTTGATCGATATATGTATTATCATTCGATTATATATATTCATAAGAAAATAATTACTTATTTTTTTAAATGCTAATTTTTAGAATAATTTCACCTTGTAGGATTGCCACAACATGGCCTTCCTCAAGGGTGGAGATTATTAAATTCACTATTTCAATATATTTATAGTTATCTCTTTTTAACATGTTTGTTTTAGTTTTCTTTATTCAAGATGCGTCATGTTAAAATGGGAGACTTAAAAAAAGTACGAATTTTGTTCAAAATTTTCATGAATAGTATCGGAGTAGTATTTCGATTATAAGTTCGGCTGAACTCAAAAGCATTAGTTGCAGTCTTATATTCATATTTTTTGAATTTTTTTGAGCTTATTAAATTCAAGTTCAATAACTTTAACGAGATAAAAATCATGAATTCATAGATTTTAAATTCCGACTTTTTTTTCTAAATTTTCAAATGCTGAACTCTCACCAATAAAAGGACTCTACTTTTTAGCATTCTTCTCCTCACGAGCAGAACACCGTAGATACAATATTAATATAATCATATCAAAATAGGTGAATATATATATATATATATATATATATATATATATATATATATATATATATATATATATATATATATATATATAATAATAA